TATTCCACAGTTAAATGGTCGTTAGTGGAGGTAGGGGTTACCCTCTATTGACTTCAAAAATTTTTTGTACATGATTTTTAGCAAACGATTTCAATTTTACCTGTTGTCATTTTCTTGGTGCGGAAATGCTACTTGTGTTGGCGTCATGAAAACCCAAACGATGAATATAATTTAGTCAATAAAAGTAATCCCTTCTGACATAATTATGTGTAAAAACAAATGTACCAATTATGAAAGTTGGAACTATTTTAAATAAATAATTGCATTTTTTGTTTTAGTTTGCATTTAATTTTATATCATAAAAATGAGTTAGCTTTAAATCATGTTTATTTGAGATGCTTTGTTTTTTCCAAAATAACTTTTTTCTTCTATTTTAACTTTAGATGTAAATCATTGATGTAGAATCGTCTTTAGTGCCCTCTGACTGCAACATGAGATTATATCGTCAAAAAGAGCTCTCTAATTAAGAGCCTCACACACATATTTTGAACACATTTTAATCTACTTATTTGTTTTGCTAAAATTTTTTGTTTTGATATTTTTTCGTGTTTTCTTATTTGACCGTTTCTGCATTGGGTGTAGATTTTTAGCCGGTGGCTGGGAGAGTTTTCAATGGTCTCTCCTAAAGGTTTTCTTCAACATAAAGTCTCTGGAAAAAATTCCGTGCTCCCAAAACTGGTAGTTATCTAGAGGTGGTCTTTCCTTGAGGTTTAATTGTACCACTATAATTCTAAAAGTGTTCTAATAGCCAATCCTATAGAATGATTTCGAAATTGCTGGTATCGAAGCTAAAAAGAAAGTATCAATCTCTCTTCATTTTTGTCAATCCGAATTTTGCAAGGGTGAGAATGAAATCATTTCTAAAAGCTTCAAGTATGACCTTTCAAGTTAGGCTAACAGTTTTGCCTTGTAAAATCTTCCAAAAACATGCGTTGCTATAAACAAAGATTGTTTATATAGAGTTAGTATAGAAGTGTTTGTATTATTTTCTCACCCATCTAATTCTCATTTATTTCTTCGTATTGAATCTGCCTCAGGTTAAATTTTCTTTTTCAATTACGGATGACTATTTTTAAAACCAAAGTAATCGTTCATTATCGTTATAATTATAATTTACATATTGACTAAGAATTTTATACAAAACTACAATACTGTCGCGCAGTTGAAAGAAACGTGAGTGCTTCACTATAGATTTCGAGAAAAGTGGCTTGATAACTATTTTATTTTCATATCTAATGCTACAAATGCTGAAATTTCAAAAACTGAAAACATAAAATTTATTTTTGAAAAATAAATTATTTTTGCAATTGGTAGCTTATTAAAAAAATAGCAAAAAATATAAAAATTTCAATTCGGAATTTTCCATCGCTTACGCTGATTTTTCTTTTGCAGGCCAGAATAAATGTATAGTTTGTTTACAAAATGTTCTTTGTTTTAGTTGAAAATATTGACTTTTCAGAAGAAAAAAAAATGATGAATGAGACATAATTAGGGGGTGGCGAAAAGGGGTGGCGTAGTTTAAAAAGTTCATGATTTGTTTTAATATTAGTGAAACTCTCTTAGAAAATGTGGCTGTATGCTTTGTTTTGGATTTTGTGTCATTTTGGAAGAAATATCTGAATAAGCATTAAAATAATAGTCAAAATTAGCATCATTATGATTATGCTGAATCCATAATATTGGGTAAAATGTGTTGAAAATGATATAAAGTGTTACACTGAAGAATGGTGGTGAACGAAATTCGCTTTTTTAAACTCGAATGGCTAAATGATCTATATTCACGAAGGAAAACAATTTCTGCATTCGACGCTCTTGGGGGGAAAATTTCTTCTTGTGGCAGCAAAATGTATGCTTTGAGGCTGTTTTTCGAAGGCTCCGTCGTAACGTGAAATGATGCTTTTCTGCGAATAATATTCTATTTTTATAACTGCTGTGAGTGTGCAACTGTTACTCATGGCTGTTAGGTCAAGTTTAGACGATCTTAACCCAGCACTGTCTACGCTTATATTGAAAATGGCGCAAAACGTCAAAGCCACAGTTTTGTGAAAATGAAAAGCTCTCGTGGTAAAAATTTACTCCGATGCTGCATTACCTGAGCCCATAAAAATTTGCAAAAACTGAGAATAAAGCAGTGATTTTGATAATTTTCATCTAGGTGAAAAAAAAAGTCACCAAATTGGTGATTTTTAAAAAAGTTTAATAACTTTTAAAATATTTAAGTTATTTGTCTGTTCTAAAGCCAAGATAATTCTTCACGGCAAGATTATACATATAGTTTTAAATCATCGCATTGCTTCAAGTGCAAAGGCAAGTAAACTATGACTTTCTTATTGTTCGGGGCTTTGAAAAACAGCATTAATGTGTGATCTTAGTTTAGTACACGTGGTTTAAAGTTATTTTCCACATCACTACACGTAAATGATTCAAAACTTTATACGAAACGCTGCTTTGTTACAGCTCCTTCGTGGTGAGGTTTTTAGAATCAATTTTGAAAAATTTCTGAAAGCTTTAGTTTTCAATAGTCTACCTCTCTTTAAAATAATTTGCAAAAAGTGCAGTAGTTAGCTATCCTGTTTCAGGCTGTGGTAAGGATACTTACCATCAATTTTAAAAATTCATGGTAAGCTATTTTACCATTTATAATTTGGCTTATAATTTTTTAATAGCTTCAGCTCTGATGAAGCATGTTTGATTAAAATAGTTTACCACTTTATAGAAAATGTGTAAAAAAAAGTATTATATATAATTTCTTTTGCAGATTATAGCATTTACAAAATTTATTTATAAATAAATAGATATAAAAGTCATTAGGTTTCCATTCAATACCTAATGAGCGGTGGTACTTACCACCAATAAAGGGTGCTAAAATTTAAATTAATTTTATCTAATACGCTAAATGATTTCTTTTCTTTCATTAATACCAATTCCTGAAATATTTAATTTACTCTTGCTAGAAGTAAAAGGCCCGTTATATAGTTGAAATGATCTTGAAAGAGCATTAAATGTTAGAAAACCTTTTTTTTAATTTAGGCTTAAAAAAATATTATATGGTTAACAAGTCTTCGTATAAGTGATAGTAATTTATCTGACGTTGTAACCAAAAACTTTTTTAATTAAATTTATTAAATTGAAAAAATCAATAGTAAAGATATACATTTTGCTATATTACAGGAACGAAAAGAATTGTACAAAATTGGGTACTTGTTCTTCAAGAAGAAGAAGATCACAAGTACTCACATATGACGTCAGCTCCAGCTGATCGCTTATATGCAAAATGGCGTGTTAAAGTTGAGCTAAGTTTTTCCATTTAAGTTAGGATGTTAATGAACGGGAAGTTAATTTAATACAACGTCGTATGCTCATCGAATTTTCTGAAATAAAATTCTTTCTCGTCGACATCTTTTACTTAACTTAGATTTATTATTTGTAAATGTATTTTATTGTAACTGTGATATCGTTTTGTTTTGTGTACCTGGCAACTTCGATGCATAATTAGTTTTTTCATGTTCTACATGGCTTCATACCTGTTTCTGTGTTAAGTAAGAAATATGTAATGAAAGAATTGAAATCCTCGTGAAAGAATCTTAGTGGAAGAATATAGAATGTGTCACTTTAGAGAATTGATACTTGAGGGGCTTGGTTTTCTCCAAATAGAATGAAAAGAACAGTTGCTAACGTAAACAAATGCCACGTTTCAACAACCAATAAGGATCGAGATACCCACACTACGTCACTTGCAGGGCATCCCATTAAAACTTAATTGCTCATTCTCAAACGTTATTAAACATTAGGCAAAAAGCAGGCATTGCCCTTCTGCACTCCGAGTACTTTAAAATGTTAATTAAACTAATGAAGGCACTGAATCATTTAAAATACAATATTTTCATAATATAACAGCGTCTAAGCAATGTGGTTGCTGTTTATTTGGGTTTAAAAATTGTAAATTTTTGAGTGGTGACATCTTAAATCCTATTTGAGTAGCCGAATCAGTGAAATTTTACTTGTTTTGATGATTAGTTTATGCCACCTGGATATTTTTTTGGTGTGCCTTTTGGAATCCTGTATTCCAACTTTAAATTATGATAGGGAAGGAAGAATAGAAGTTTTCTGGAATATTTTTCACTTTCGATGACAGTTACATTGTATTCCAAACAGTATAATGAAACGAATGTTTCAAATATTCTTTAACCGAAGAGTGATGTCTATTGTCCATCACTCCCAGCGAAAGGGGTGTAAAGCCAAGGGTGAAAAGGTTGGAACGGGTAAAATTCCATTTCAAAGTGTGGGGCAGTTTTTCTTCCATATCAGACAATGGAGTAATAATTCTTTTTGAGCAATGACAGAGAGATAACGTTGGCTCCAGTTGAAAGCGAGATTTAAATTCTAAGCATGTTTTGGAAGCTTTAACAACTGATTAACTAAATCAGCTACTTGATTGAGTGAAGTTCGATTGAAATATTGATTGCGGTTATTGATTAAGTGTCGCAGACTGAAAACAAGTAAATTTGAAATAAAGTATAATAGTGGAAAGATCTTTGGATGGATACTGTTATAGTAAAGGTAATTTCAGTATTTTTATTTAATTCTTCTTCTCCTTTTTCTTTTATATCATGAAAAGGAAATCTTGCAATCGAAATTTCGAGCACTTTTCGACTAGCACGGACACTTAAACCTCAATTGGAACTCTGTGACTGATGACAATGTAAGATACATTTTTTTGGAATTTCACATTTATATTGTACTGCAAGACAGCGTATGGCCCACGGGAACAGGCTTCGTTTAGGATATGAAAAAAATTATAATAAAATAGTAAAGACTATTTAACAAACAAAATCAAATTTATAATGCATCTTTTTTTTGCTTGGTTATGATGGTTCTGCTGATTGTGGGTGACTGTTGAGAATAAAGTTCAAAGAATTGAAAATGTTGTTACTTGGTTTTCAGTGTACGTGTATTTTTTAAATGGGGATACTAATTCTTTTGCATTTTTTCCCCTCCAGTGTGTGAAATCTCTGTTTGGTATAAAACCCTCATGTAGTGTATTCTACAGGGAGGATATGTCCTCCCAAACGGAGCAACTGCGAAATGCTGCAAGCACCGGAAACTTGGAGCAGGTTCGGTCCTTGCTGAAAGCTGGAGCTAAAGCTGAACCTGATTTGGTAAGTGTATTTTATGTTATATTTTATAACCGTCGTTTTGAACAGCTGACCCAATTTTTGGGTTTACGATTACTAATGTTCAACTACGTAGCCTCGTCATTTTGAACCCAATCCAGGAGGGAACTTCTGGAACAAGTATTGGGAGAAATTTGCCTTCGTGGAGGATTTTTTGATGGAACTAACCCGCATTTACGTTGCATGGAGAGGAAGACCACGAGAACCTTCCATGGTTAGGCTGACTCTAAACCGTGATCCGTCTACCACTAAGGATATTTCACGCCAGCACTGTTGTCGGTGCAAGCCGGATACGGAATTCACATTGACCAGTCATCGCAGGGATTCGAACCCGGTTCACCTCATTGGGAGTTTCACCTCACTTATTTTGATTTATTGGCTTTATAAGATTGCTACGTCCTGGGAAAAATTAGAAAATGGTAGGCATATTCAAAGTAATAGAAATAGTTTAATGATTTTAAATTTAGTCCTTAGAAAAGCAGGCCATTTCAACAAACGATAATTAAATAAATAATGAAATGATAATAAAGAATAATAAAAGAATAAGAACACTTTTTAACTAACCTTAAAAGGGCAAAAGAAGTTCCACTACATAAAACAATTAACGAATAATCGAATTTCACAATAAACAAAAAAATGTACAATTAATAAAAAATTACAAAATTGACAAAATAATAATAATAATAATGAATTAATTGAAAATTCAAGGCCTTTCCCCGCTTACTTCCTCCATTACACTCCTGCCCCAAATAGTTTAATGCTTCAGTTTAGTTTCAGATTTAAAAACACCAATTAAAATGGATCGCGTAGCCAAATCTTTTGAAACTCAATTTTAAATTTACTTGAGGAGATTCGTGCTGAGTTCGTGATTGAAGACTGCTGATTTGCGTGCTGAGTTAATAATCAAAGTCATTATTTTGACAGGAAATTGAAACTATTGGGTGCTAGATTTCTAGCAATTGCTGTGAAGATCACAGCAAGAATCCCTTTCTGGAATCTAACATAAAAGAATCTATGACTTTTAAAGTTGTCAAAAAGTAAAGATTATCCTTATATTAACTAGCATTGAGTTCAAAATATGTTAGTCTCGCCACGAATTGATAATAAGTACAAGATGAATTAGAGGGTTAGATGAATTCCACGACTGTCAATTTCTACGATCTCTGAGGAAATGTTTTCTTAGCCACATTTATATTTAAATCAGTCGAAAAGTTAAATCTTAAATTATCTACCATGTCAAGTGAATAATTCAAACATACGTATCTAACTTATATGCATAAAAACCTAATGGTGGAGTGTTAGTTTTTCACATTAATTTCTATGATATTTTTGGTTGAGATCAGCATATAATTAATAAAATTCATAAAGATATTGTTTTCTAGTAAAATATTTTCGTACCCCGAATTTTCATGAAAGTATTGTTTTTCTGTCAAATATTTTTGCATCTCAAATTTAAATGCAATATTTATTTCTCTTATTTTGCACTCCTGTTATTACTTTTTTGATTTTGATTGTTTTTTAAATGAAGAGTTTAAAACTAAAAGGATTTTTTCTTTACTATAACGTAATTCTATGATATTACCATACCTATGATATTACTTATTACCTACATTTTAACATAAAGTTATTGGAATCGGTGTCTAATCTTATTAACAGTTTTACAATTGCTGTTTTTTTTAATGTGTATAACATAAATATTCTATTATGAATGACCGTTAAAGTTGATTCAAAACTTAACGATCAGCTTCATGCATAAGTTGTATTTAATATATCAACTTGTTAGGTAACCGAAAATATTAAATTGTGGTTGTAAACTCACAAAATTAGTTATAACACTATACCTTTAATTTTAAATGTCATTTTTAAAAACTGATTACTTAGCAAATCTATTTATGTTTACTAATAGATCGAGTCATACGAGACTATTTACCAATGAAATCCAAATAAACATTTAATTGAAAGAAATGAACGGGGGAAGTNAATATATTTTCCTTTTTTTGTTATTTTAGGATATAAAACATATTTTTCAAACTTTAATGAACGTAGAACAAGTATTGCATTGCTTTATATTTTTTAAATTACTCATAATATTTTTAAAGAGCAAAAAAATTTTTAAATTCAGTATTTTTACTTTATTTAAGGCATTTTTTGTGCAATTTTTGCAATTTTAAGGACATTTTTTTGTCCTTTTTAAGGGCATTTTTTGCACTTTTTAAGGGCATTAGTTGAGATTTTTTAGGTCATCAAAATCTGGGCTCTAGTTATAACACTATACCTTTAATTTTAAATGTTATTTTCAAAAACTGATTACTTAGCAAATCTATTTATGTTTACTAATAGATCGAGTCATACGAGACTATTTACCAATGAAATCCAAATAAACATTTAATTGAAAGAAATGAACGGGGGAAGTAGAGGCACAAGCAAACGGAATTCTTTACAGTATGTATATATTCTAGATCAGGGGTTTCCAACTTACATGAGGCCGGGGGCCGTAATTAAAAACACCACTGAAATGGCGGGCCGAAATTTTATCAAAATTTTGTGTAGGACTTTTATGTTTGAAGGAACATTAAATGTTACTGTCAGATTTTTATCAAGTTGTACAAAACAGTATTGAATTACAAATTAAAATAAAAAGTAGATTTTTACCCGAAAAATAAATTTTCTTGCACCGTTGGTATTTTAAATTTCACAGAAACGAAGAAATTAGGTTTTTTTTGTTAACGAAAGAAAAGTACTTTAAATCCATATAGATTTTTACGAAAATTGTCCGGAAAAAAATGACAACTAATATATTTTAGTTCACGGGCCACAAAAAAAGGCTTCGCAGGCCGTCAGTTGGTAACCACTGTTCTCGATGAATAATTTCAATTTTCGCAGAAAAAATTGTTTTGTTCTAAGAAACAACAGTTTTGCAAGGCAATCATTGGGGTTGGTGAGCGACGCCGAACAAGTTTAGTATCCAGTACGAGATATATTTGTAAGATAATAATAAAGTGTTGTCGAAGTAGCTTCATATTTTGAGTATTATATACATATATTTTAAGTATTATTATGCGTACATATATTTTAAGTATTATTTAGATACTACAACTTTGCAAAAGGACCCACTACAGTACAACTTGCCTACTATTCTTTTTACTTTTTTTCCAAAGTTCATAATTGAGATATAAATCAATCCTGCCATGGGTCCACTTAAATATTTAACCCATTTATGCTTAACGTCCTATTGAAAGTAAATTATTTTTGTTAAAAATGAAAAAAAGTGGTTGGTTATATTAAGTGCTCTATTATCTGGATTTAATTTGCAGAGATAAAGTTCTGTCTTACCATAATATATTAAAAATTTAAGTATTCATGCATAGATCTGAAACCAAAGCATTTTTTAAAAAAAAGTTAAAGTGATAGATAGTAGAAAGAAATAACGTTTTTCCAGTGCAAGTGTTTTTCATGTATCAGGACTGTTTGTACCCCGGAGGAGAGGTAAAAAAAACTGGTAGGCAACCATTTCATCATCAACCATTTTCTAAACAGTCTTCAGGAGGCACTTTGTGCGCCTAAAGATTATAATTGTTTTAGATTTAGATTATAAGCATCTATTTTTATTGAATCAATACACAACTCAGGAAAAAAATAAGAACACAAAAAAATAAAATAGATCGTCAATAATAAAAAAAATATATATAAGCTGACCAGCTTCCCGAGTAAACTTAATGGGAAGAGAAAAAAAATCTGGTCAAATTTCTAGAACATTTAAAAAAAATTTTCGTTGCTTTCAGATTATTCAAAAAAGAAAGTTTATAATTAATCTTCAAGAAATTTAGTTTCTTAGAATGTTATTTTGGAAACATAAAATAGTGAGTTTTCGTATATACTTTTAGGAATTTTACTATAAGTTTTTTTTTCTTTTAGTGCTACACATACCTTCTTGTAGCTTATCGCCGTTTAACAACAATTCCCTTTACTGTACATTCTAAAATGTTTTTTGCGACACGCAGAATCAGAATTTCATATTTTAATCATTTGTATTATTTGCAGGAAGGAAGAACAGCTCTCCATTTAGCATCGGCCAATGGTCATGCAGCGGTTGTGAAAGCCTTGATAGAAGGCGGTGCCAAAATTAACGCTTTGGATGCAGTAAGTACAAATTAAATAGAACAATAATCCAGATTAAAAAGAAAAGAAAGTTTCAAAATGATATATACTTAGAATAAAATCGTGCTATTTCTCAACCCGGAAAACTCGTTCGTAAACTTAAATGTTAGGTCACATGATGTCAAACTGCGGTTCTCTTTTCTTTGTCAGTTTTTATAGTTATAGACGGTTTTTATTGTTGCCGAGCAGATAGATTCTTGTATTTATTAAACGAGTCTTTTGTTGTTTGTTCACGAATTTTACAGAAATCATTTTTTTTTTATTTCTCGCGCTATCATACTCCGTTAAATGAATAAAGTTCTAAAATAAATAAAAATAAATGTATTTGTATAAAAAAACGCGATATTTGAGAAAAAGGTTCTTTGACCTCAACGCTTTTTTAATATGAAATTGTTATTAACACAGTTTTTTTTTTCACCATTTAATTTGTTCGAACACGTTGACTGTTGTAGGGTCGCTAAAAATGAAACTAAATAATAGTTTAAATTTTTTAATTCACCATTTGTGATTCAATCCATACGTTAAACCTGCTGCCACTTAACATAACTTATCATTCTTTTAAATTTTATGTTTGTCCACCCATATTCGTTTATACTAAGTTACGCTTTTATCATCTTTTATTGTTACAGAGATGACAACTTGCTCCGCTTTGCAAAAATATATTTTCTAGTGGTAACGTCATTTGAGTTATTTATAGTTTAGTATTTTTCAGTTTAACAGGGTTTCCACGGTCTGTAAATTTTTTTAAAGTGGTAGCAAAAGTGAGATAAATCTAGATATTTTAAACTACCCATAAATGTCTTATTGAATCAGAATATTTATGGATGCAAAAAAGAAAATACATTGGGAATAATTTCGTAATTCTTAAATGAAAGCTAAATTTGGGTGTTTTTCAGTAGTTTAGAAAAATTTTAGCTACCACTCATTTACTTTTTACAGGTATTGGGAACCCTGTTTAAGTAATTTTTCCACCACTAGTTATCAAAAATTCATATAAAATACAACTTTGTTGCAGTTATTTAGTGGCGACACTATTAAAGCTTAGGCGTAATTATCCTTATTCTACAAGTTTTACAATTCAATACGCTACCAATTTATTAGAACTTTTGCAGAAAGCGGAGCAGTTGGCATCCTTGTTGTTATCCTATCAGAAAAGTCAGCGAAAGTCACCTGGCTGCTATTTAGCAACAAAACAAGATCTAATGTCCATTGATTAGAATGTGATTAGACTCACATTGATTAAAGTAGAAGCAAAATAAGTCTGTCAAATTTTCAATAGCAATGCCCACATTTAAGGTACTGAATTTTGTACGCATGCATTATGATTGCATGATTCCCTTACAACGTTCCGGAGACATTAAGGGTCAAATGTTACATAAGCGTTTTTTCAGAAAGATAAAGACTGGTAACTAAATTATTTTAGGAATGAAATTTATCTTTGAGAAACAAGACACTCGTGTAACATATTAATATTAGGTTTACCAGGACACGCCTCTTTTTACAGTAATGCAAAAGGTTCTTTTATAAAACAAAGTGGTAGGATATTTACCCTTTAACGCAAAGGTAATGTTCTAGCTTAACACTAGGTTTACGGACGTTTTTTATTATTGTATGTTAAGTGATGGTAAAAGGTACATAAAGTATTTGCCTACAATATCACTTCAATAATTAATTCAATACTAATGAAAAAAATGCTTTTGAACGTATAAAAGTTGGCAAGTTTGCATTAGTTAAGCAATTATGCTCTAAAGTAGAGGCTGGGTAGCTTAAATTTTGGATAATTTTTAGAACTCTCAATTTTAAAATTGTATGATTTTTATTTTCAATTCGGTATGAGAAGACAAAATGAAGGCAAGAATTATTAGTCCTGTATTCTAATTAATCTATTACAATATAGTTCGGACACAACTTCTTTCCTCGTCACCCTCGTTTTAGTCCCTATGATAATGTCACCTACCTCGTTCACCAACTCTTCATTTATGACACAAAATTACCTCAGATTTTTTTTTTAACATAGAAATACTAGCGTAATAAAATTTAAAAGATATCATTTTTATTTATTTCTGAAGAATATTTACTATCTTGAATCGTATATCCTACAGAGATATTGGACAACATTTAGTACAATTTCATCAATTAAAAGTAATATTTTTAAAAAATATATTTGGATTTACCTCATTGGTCGGAGTTTTTAATGACAATAAAAAAATTATATGAAAGATAAGAAACTGTATGAAATTAATATTTTGGGCAGCTTTATAGCATACAAGATCTTATTATTTGAACCTAGGGGATTTTATTTTATGAGCAAAATGTAAAGAAATACACTATAAAAACATCCTTCAATGTACAAAAATCCTAAGAGTTAATAGTTTTTTTTATTTATAATTAAAAATAACTTATAAGACTTGAATAACTAAAATTAATTGATTTTTTTTAAAAAAATATTTCATCTCAAATTTTATAATAATCTTATAAAAAAAGTATTTCAAACATTTTTTAATTCCATATTTCTTGGTCAAATTCGCATTTTTTGGTCTCAAGAAAACACTGATCACTTACCCATCTCAAAAATATATTTAATTCATATTATCTTATTATAAAATTATATATATATATATAAATATAATAATTAAAATGTGACTTTTACTCGGGAATTATTTTATATTAACATCATTTAACAAACTCCAATTATTTTCAGGAGTAAAATGATTTCATGCATTGAGTATGACTCGTAAGCTTCATAATGGGAAAACTCAATGATTAATTTTGAAGATTAATGATGATTTATCTGTTCATTAATCAGCTTATTTCAGGAGTAATAGCTTTTTACCTAATCGCTTTGATTTATCAAAACGGAAAATTTGAGGCGAACGAAACAGGTAGAACAAAATCAATTTGTTTTTTGAGGCGTTTTCGCAAAAGAAAGTAAGAAAAGCCACCGGATTGAAGGTCTTAAACTCAAATCAAAACTTTCATTTCGAATTATGTGTATTAACTTGCCGAAAAAAATTGATTGAACTTTAAAATAACGGACAAATAATCTAATATATTTAAAAAAAAGTATTAAACTTTTTTTTAAAAAAATTGCTAACTTGGCGAGTTTTTTCTCTTAGATGAAAATCATTAAAAACTGACGAATAATTTTAATTTTTGCAAATTTCCAGATAATACAGAGCTGGAGTAACATTTTAAATATTAAAAAAAAAAAAGAGATCTCAGACGTTTTTGCTTGATTACCGAAAAAACTTTTACCGTAGTTGTCAAATCGTACTGTCGTTGGGAAAAATTTTACGAAGTGTTAGTATAATATTTAGTGTCAGTATAACAGAGATGCCAACTGCTCCGGACGCGCCAAAATAATTAAAAAAATGGTAAATAACTACAAACTAAAATTTGCAAACATTTGAATAATTTTGCAAATTTTTTAAAAGATTTAGCATGACACAACTGTAATAAAGTGGTGAATATATAAGCCAACGAATTATTTAGAAATAGTGGTGGATAAAAATCTAATAAATTGAATTTATTAAATCAAAAATCACAATTAATAAACTACTACTCGAAAATATTTATTCGCTGTCCGGAGCAAGTTGGCATGATCTCTGGTATAATAAGGCAATATTGTATCAGAGTTGGCCAAAAGCGTAATCGATTACATTTTTTGATTACAGTAATCAATTACTTGTAATCATGATTACAATTTTCAAAAATTTTGATTACAGCTGTAATCATGATTACAATATTGATTACAGTAATNTTTGAAAGTTGTAATCACGATTACAAGTAATTGATTACTTGTAATCGTGATTACAAGTAATTGATTACATAGCTGTAATTATCTGTAATCAATTACAGTTGTAATCGATTACTGTAATCAACGGCCAACTCTGTATTGTATAGTAAGTTGACAGTAAGTTAGTATAATAAGTTGACGGGCATGTAATTAAAATATTTTGGAAAAAATCTCTAGATTTACTGTAAAGGACTATGAAAATTATCTTTTGATAGTATATTGACTTTTTTCTTTTTATTCTAAAATTAAATATTCCAATGAAAAAATTCAATCATATTTTAATCTCATCAAATATTGAATTTAGCTACTGCTAATAATTATCGTTTGTAATAACCTTCTACCTATGCATCCTTCCATTATTATTGTTCTATTTTTTAATTTCTTTTATTTTTCTATCAGAAGAAGTGAAATGAATTTATTGAAATCCATCAGTAATGCTTTGCTGTTTTGTCAATCTCAATTTCTCACTGTAACTGCATTTCGTTACGTCATTGTTGCTTAGGTAAAAACAATCCAAGTGGTATTATACACCTATCTCTCTTTTTTTTTTATCTTCTGCGAACGGCAACAAGCTGTGACTGAAGAAAAGGCAAGTGGCTTTAAAAAGTAGGACTGATAATTGAATTGCTTTTATTCTATCACATAAGATTGTGGCATTTACACTTACAATATTTTTTTCTCTTAAGAAAGGAAGAGGGAAAAAAAAAAAGATTAGAATTAGGTAGAATTTCGTTGCTTTGCTGTCTTGCTGAGATTAATTCCTGTTCTAGTATGGCCGTGAAAAATAGAGGCGGATTCAAGTCTCAAATGAAGATAAAGGTTGAAAAATATCATTTGATAGCTCCAAAAAAGATATCCCCCGCGGGGTAATTCACGTTCATAAAGACGTGAACATTCCTTCCCGCTCCTTCTTTTGTAATTAATGGCGCTAATGCAAGGGTGGAGTTGTCCTCTTGCTGCTTCCAAACACTGCGTCTTTGTCAAAAGAATGCAGAGTTTAAATTGTTTTGTCCGAATTAACGGGTGGTTTTAGATTCTTTTGATTTCACATGTAGAACTATAGTTTGTTTTTACTGTTATATGACTTTATATTTTTTAAAAAAATTTATACTATATAAAAAAAATTACGATAAATTTTAGAGAAGAAAAGGATATTTTTCACAAAAAAGAACTGTTTAAAGAAAAA